GGGATGGTCTAGACAGTATTTGGTCCTGCCATGCGGGCAGGGGACTAGACTCGATGACCTCTCGAGGTCCCTTCCAGTCCTAGAATCTATGAATCTATGAATCATCAACTCCAGTCTGATATTTTGAGGCTTCAGCTTCACACCCTGCACTTTCACTTTCAGTGGATGGTGTTTTTTTATTTATTTTTACCAGACTGATTAAGACAAATTTTACTTTAAAAAGAGAAAAAAAAGCCTGATCATGAAATAAAATGTGGGTTGGAAATAATACAAATGGCTCTGAACACTTGTTGAAAATGTACTTGAAAGTCCTTTGAGGTTTTTTTGCCTGTGCTTCCCCTGGCTTAATCGTAAATCAAGGACAGACCTCTGTGGCAAAGATGGGCCCACCTGGGCCCCCTAGGTCCTGATTCACAAGATATCAACCACATACCTAACTTTAAGCTTGTGAATAGACCCATTGAATTTATTGGGACTGCTCTGGTGCTGAAATGGAGCCATGAACTACAGCAATAAGAAAGTATGTCCCTGTCTCTGATCCCTCTTGTCATCCTCCATTTACAGGCCTTGATCCACACCACTTGAGACAGCCTTTCACACCAAACCCATAAAGTATTGGGACTGATTCTAACACAGAGGGGTTCAGATAAGAGCCAAACATCTGACACTTGTTAGAATAGAATATCAGGGTTGGAAGGGACCTCAGGAGGTCATCTAGTCCAACCCCCTGCTCAAAGCAGGACCAATCCCCAGACAGATTTTTGCCCCAAATGGCCCCCTCAAGGATTGAACTCACAACCCTGGGTTTAGCAGGCCAATGCTCAAACTTCTGAGCTATCCCTCCCCCCTCCTATGTTGAAGTTGTGGTTATTTATCTGTATTTTAACCTTGGTGGCTCAGTCACAGCACTATCACAGTATGGAGGCCCATACAAAGACAGGGACAGATCCTTAGGTAGTGTAAATGAGCATTGTTCCATTAATGTCAATGGTGCTATGCTGATTTGCACCAGCTGAGCATCCAGTTCCTACAATAAATGACAGTCCCTGCCCCAAAGAAGCTTGAGTATGATGTTGATTTCCATGCCCACCAGTACGCTAGACACTCACAATACAGATAGGGCATGAACCATGCTCCAAGGAGCTTAAAAACAAAGGCCCTGGTCTTGCATTGTGACCTGAGCAGCACCTGAGCCTCACTGAACTGCGGGCACAGCAGTCAATCTGCACTTGTCACTGCAGGATCAGGGCCCAACTTCAGACATGGCATGACAAGCGAGGTAAATGCAAGGGAAGGAAGGAATCCAACATCTTGCAGCAAAAGCTAGTGTGTGACGTGAGGGAGATTGGTTTGAATGTGAGGTCAGACTAAAGACCAGGCTAGTGCTCTGGAGGTACCTTAGAGGGCTTGAGACCTAGGAGAGATGTATATGAGGAGAGACTAATGGCTTTGCAGACCTGCTCAGGCAAAGTGTTCCATTCCTAGGGGAAGGCATGGGAGAAAGCCTAGAGCTGCAGACCTGCAGGTCCTCAAGGCCAGTAGTCCCTATGGGAGTGCTGTGAACTTGATGCCTTGGAGAAAGGGGTGCCAGTGGAGGGACTCGGGCCCTGATTCAGCAAAGCATGTGCTTGGCTTCAAGCGCATGAGTAGTCCATGGACTTCAGTGGGATTACTCAAATGTGGATGGTTAAGCACATGCCTAAGATCTTTGCCTCCAAAGGGCTGATGTGATCTGATTGATGGGGAAGGAAGGTGACCTTAGTGGTTGTATTTTGAACTACTTCTTTCTGACCCTATAGGGTGATCTCATAGGTATGGCACAGTAAGAGGGCAGGGTGTGTGAGAGGCATGCGCTGCACTGCCTGGGCTGTATCCCTTATTCTGGATAACTATAAAACTTCATTCTCCATCAATCCAGCATGGAACTCACTGCTAAGGCCTTGTCTACACACACAAGTTATGCTGCTTCGTACCGATATATTTTAAGTGGTACAAATTATAGTGATATAAAATATATACTGGTACAAAATCTGAGTGTAGACCAGGCCTAATAAAGCAAACAAACCTGTGAAATTTATTCCAAACAGCCAGCAGGTCTTGCCACTTTCCAAGCTGAGTTACACTGACTCAGAACTTTATTTGTGTGTTCATCAATTATCTTACTTATTTTTTAAATATACAACTGCTGTTATTACTTAATGTTTTAAAGCCAAAGCTAATGTTCATCTGCATAAAAATTAGAACAATTCCCTCAGGACAACCATGTTAAAATTACTCCAGAGCCACTAGCATACTGCCATAGAACTATGATGGCCTCCAGTAGCTCGGAATCACATGCACCAAAACATCTCCTTTGTGTGTGTTTTCTTTAGACAAGGATCCCACTAAAGTCTGTACTGGAAAAGGAACCGTGACCCTACGGGCATCTCTAGCCTCTGAGGAAAGGCCAAGTATCAGTCCCCCATGTTCTCAGGATGTCCAGCAGTCAGAAAGTAAGTCTAGTATGTAAAAGGTAAAACATAAAATACAACAATTGTAACTGACCCCACATGGTACTTGAGTCCAGGCCTTCAGTGCTAAAAGCATGATCCTCTCCCATTAGCGCTAAAGACCTGAGCAAAAGCAGACTCCTAAATCTCTTACATGAGGCAAGCCGCTTGAGGAAGACAAAGCCCCAGAACTTCTGAGTGTGAGTTTCACAACCACTTATACACCACTGGGGAAAAGGCATATTTGTTGCTTCATGTTGCTGGCAGGAGTGCCAAAAAAATCATGCTTTCTTCCCAAGTAGGCCTTTGTGTCCCTCCTTTCATCCCGGGCCGCTGGGGGGAATGGGAAGTGTCCTTGTGTAGTTGCTGCTGCAATGGCATTTATTTTTTTGCAGTAGTCAAGGGCACTGGGATGGCATCCCAAGTTGACAGTGTTGCCATAGATTTCTGCGGTCTTTAAATAGCAGATGTGTAATTACTTAATTACAGGAGACAAGCAAAGCATCACTAACCCTGCCTGCACCTTGGATTTTGCATATAGAATGAATTCCCAAAGGGGAGATGCTATTAAAAGTTAGGATTGTTCAGCTTCTCCCCTGAAAGTGAAGCACATGTAATTACAGGACCTGTTGTTAGGAAAGGGTGACTCTATTCTTTCCAGCCCTAATGCACTGTTTTCTACCTCCCCCTTCTCCTCCCCTCCTGCTCCACCCATGACCTCTCCTCTTTTCATTCTCTCCATTCTCTGCTTCCTCACCCCCACCCCCTTCACTTACCCTTCCTGCTGGCCGCTTCATAAATTTCCAGCAGCATGAATGGCATTGAGCCCATTACTATGGAAATAAGCTCATTAATACTTCTTTTGCTGACTCCCTCAATCACTTTATGAAATGCATGTTGTAGCTGGAAGAGCTCTTTGCACAGAACGTGAGCAGCCAAAATGGCTAATGTCGGAAGAGGGGGAGGAACTCAGTGGGCGATGGGTAGATAGTCTCAGTGCCTCTAGCCACAGGGACTGGGCTGTAAAATGGCATCATGTTTCGTACCTCCACCCGTACTTGCAAAATAGACATCTTATTTGTCAATGGGTCTCTGCACCAGGTATTCTCATGTGGCAGTGTTACAAAGGACAGCTATGGTTATCCAGTCGACATCATGGCTTGACACTGAGACCCTGCATTTGCAACTGTGTGTGGGGCATTTGGACTCCAAACTGCAGCACGAGAGCAGATAGCTCAGCTGAATGTCAATGACCAATTGTTTTATCATTGCTCTGAATGAATCGCCTTGTGTTTACAAAGGTCAGAAACTGTGAGGGCATCATGTTTAGGGCCAGTTTCTATGGCAATTTGGCATCCCTGTCAGAAAGCATTGTGTGTGTGAAATGAAGTAGCCTGAATGTTGAATTCAGTGGGTACATATTTGCTGTAAATGTAACAGTTTATTTTTTCCTCTTATTTTTCCATTCTTCCTTTCCTCCTCTCTGCAGCACACATATCTCTGGATACAGGAAAACCAGAAACAGGTACACATGCTTGTTGATTTGTTTTGTTGTTTCCCCGGATGTATTTCTTGTTGCCCAGCAAAAAGCAACAGCTTCCCTCTCCTCATTCCCCATCTAGCTAGAGTAAATTCACTCAGACCTGAAGTTCTCCTTCCCCTTTTAGATGATTGGAGGTTATCCTCTAATGGAGATATCCAGCCATCTTCTCTGGCTGCCAAGGGCTATAGAAGTGTGCGTCCCAACCTCTCCTCAGAGGGCAAACCACAGGTAAGCATCTTTCCAGAGGATCTGAGGCTTTTCTTGAGGGGTCAAGCACAGGATTCAGAGTCAGGAGACCTGTGTTCAATTCGCAGGCTTGGGTAAGTCTATGTGCCTTCATTTTTCCTATCTGCAAAATAGAGAGAATGCATCTTTCCCGGGAGTGCTGTGAAGCTTAATTCATGAATATGTGTTAAAGCATGCTGAGCTCCTTGGTGGCCATAGGGGGGCAAAGTACCGTTCAACATTGTTTGTGTGGGAAGGCTTAGCCAAGAGGTAATGATCCATTATTGTATGTCTTTTATGTATGCGCTCTGACCTTCCAACTGCAGCTGGCTGAATGGAGAATTAAACTTCCTAAACTCACAGAGTGGCCTTAAAAAATGACTGGAGAAGGCCTTGTCACTTTAACGCTAGAAATGATATAACCTTTTGTCAGCCCATAGTGGAAAGGTTATTTTCCTCCAAAGTCTAATCTGAAGTGTTGGGATTGGTCTGCCAAGCAAAGAGAAATGCTAACCTATGGATGGGTTACTGGTGTGCATGGATGCAATTTTCAGGTTGCATTCAATGGGATGGGAAAACCTGAGCAACCCTTCTTTATAAACTGCCTTCTTGAGGAATGGCATCTGTTTCTGCTCTGTTAAATGTGAAATGGAGCCCCATTAAAATCTCATCCCTAGTACAGGGCGATTGCTTTAATCGTGGTGAGCTCTTGGCAAAGCCACAGATCAGACACTGTGCCTGAAATGTTAAGTGAAAGATGAAGAGGGCACCAGTCAGCCGAGGGCATAAGAAGTAATGAAGCACTAAAGGAGTGAGCTGCTTCCTGCATGAGACATGCAGCTGTTTCGCAGTCAGTTATTGGGCATGTAAGTGAAGAGAGAGAGCTCAGTTCTAGTTTCACAGAGCGCTGTTTATAGAAGAGTCCTGAAGGCACTTAAACCAATTTCAAATGAAACAGGGCCATATTCTGCTCTCAGCCACATGGGTGTAAATGTGGAGTACCATGGTCACTGTTAACAAGCAATTTGCCACTCTGTAGCATCTGGAATGCGGCAGTATTTTTCCAGTCGCCCAGCTGTATCTACAGTATCACGATGTTAACCAGGGTGGCTGCTGGCTGGCTCTCCATGGCAACTCCTGATTTATTCAGTGAGCTGTACACCAAGGATAAAAAAGGGCCTATCCAAAGCTCTGGGAGCCCCTGCCAGAAATTACAAAAACAATAAAATTAAACCACCCCCAAAAGACCAAATTCCCCTCCCCCAGTCTGATTCCCCTCCCAACCATCGCCACAGCAGCCAGTGTAAATACATGTGCCTTACATCATGCCCAGATTGTCAGCAGACTCTAGCTATTTTGGACCAGTGGGGAAGCCCATGCCACAGCCAAGGGCCACTCACAGGGAGTGCTGTACTGCCTTCCTCCTCATCCCAGCTTGAGTGCCTCTGTTTAGTATAACACTGGTAGGATGGCTACTGCAACTTTGAAATCTATGGGGTTACTCTGGATTTTATTCCAATACAGGCGAGAATAGGAGCTGCCCCAAAGCTGCCTAGGGCGATGAATTTTAAAAGAGAACATTGATCAAGGCAATAAAGTTCTGAGCTGTTAAAGCCTCCAAAGAAGAATAGAGGCAATTCTTATCCTGTAGGCTGGCATTCTAGTCGTTTTCCTTCTAACAGATGGTGATTTACAGTTACTTGCAACTGTAAATGAATACAGTGAAACCTCCATGTAGCAAAGTCAGTTCTTTTGCTACAGAACAATTTGGGTCTAAGCAAAGATTTGCTCTAACTGGAATTGCAATCTCCACGCTGCTCTAGAGTTGCAATCTGTACACTGCGACGCATTGAAACAATGAAGGAATTTCTTTTTGCTTCTCTAGGAACATGATTTCGCTATCAGAAGGCTTCACTCTAAAGACAAGTTTCTGGGAACCCAATTCCACTATAGATTTAAATTGTTCTGTTTTTCTGAGGGTGCTTTGTGAGTGAGGGATCTTTTTAGAAGGGAAATGGGATGTCAGCCTTTGGCAAAAGTAAATGAGACTTTTTTTATTTGATCTCTCTGTATAGTGGAACAACCACAGTATAGTAGGTCACTGCGGTATGATTTCGCAGTTTTTGGCAATCTGCTTAGTGTACTGTAGAGAAGGGCCTGAGCTGTAGAATTCATATTTCCTTCTAGATCTGAATGTGCCCAAAGCTGGGGAGTGCTTGAGCCAGGGGTCATGGAATGCAGAGACTGGTTCTGATGGTCAGATCTGAATTTCAGAAGTTCCTGGGGAATGTTAGGAGCTTGGGTACCCAGGCTGCTCCCTGCGGTACCCAGAGTAAGGTTAGCCCTGAAAGCAAAGTGAGATGCTCTTCATAGATTTGAACTTGAAAGCTGGAAAACCTTTTCATACCCCAACAAGCAGCATTGAGAGCGAGCAAGTTGAGTGCTGGGCTTGACGATACCATGTTAGCTTGTTGTTAACTTGTGCTTAGCTTGTGGCTAAACAAAAAAGTAAAAGCAGCAGTGAGAGGCAAAAAGGCATCCTTTAAAAAGTGGATAAATGCGAAGTAATGCACATTGGAAAACATAATCCCAACTATACATATAAAATGATGGGGTCTAAATTCACTATTGCCACTCAAGAAAGAGATTTTGGAGTCATTGTGGATAGTTCTCTGAAAACATCCACTCAATGTGCAGTGGCAGTCAAAAGAGCAAACAGAATGTTGGGACTCATTAAGAAAGGGATAGATAATAAGACAGAAAATGTCATATTGTCTCTATATAAATCCATGGTATGCCCACATCTTGAATACTGCATGAAGATGTAGTCACCCCATCTCAAAAAAGATATATTGGAATTGGCAAAGGTTCAGAAAAGGGCAACAAAAATGATTAGGGGTATGGAATGGCTGCCGTATGAGGAGAGATTAATAAAACTGGGACTTTTCAGCTTGGAAAAGAGACGATTAAGGGGGGATATGATTGAGGTCTATAAAATCATGACTGGTGTGGAGAAAGTAAATAAGGAAGTGTTATTTATTCCTTCTCATAACACAAGAACTAGGGGTCACCAAATGAAATTAATAGGCAGTAGATTTAAAACAAACAAAAGGAAGTATTTTTTCACACAATGCAGTCAACCTGTGGAACTCCTTGCCAGAGGGTGTTGTGAAGGCCAAGACTGTAACAGGGTTCAAAAAAGAACTAGATAAGTTCATGGAGGATAGGTCCATCAATGGCTCTTAGCCAGGATGGATAGGGATGGTATCCCTAGCCTCAGTTTGCTAGAAACTGGGAATGCACAACAGGGGATGGATCACTTGATGCTTACCTGTGCTGTTCATTCCCTCTAGTGCACCTGGCATTGGCCACTGTCAGAAGACAGGATTCTGGGCTAGATGGACCTTTGGTCTGACCTAGTATGGCCTTCTTCTATTGTTCTCATTGAATTCAATCCTGTTAACTCCAGTCTAATGACCAACTTCATTCTTTCATTTTTTTCTTTTTCCCTTCATTTGGTGCTGATTCCTCCTCCTTCCCTTGAATCTGATTGGACAGGCCCTTTCCCCTCCCCGTCCTCCTCTTCCAAAAGAGGAGAGCTTTGCATGGCACCCTCGCACTGACATGAAAGTAACCAACCTGCTGCCAGTGCCCATAATGGACTGTGTGTACCTGAATGCACCCAAACCTTATACACAGCGTGTGTCACTGAGCTGCAGCAGTCAGTGTTACTCCTCATCACCTGCACCCTTTGTGACAGTACCCAGTGGGAAGCCATGCTTTTCTGCAGGGCATCCCCAATCAGCCAACTTGATTCCCAAGGACGTGGTGCATGCTGGGCAATCACTTTCGGGAAGTAGCTCCTTGTTATCAGATACTTCATCCAAACATCAAAACCCTGCCAGGGCAGATCCTAGTAGTGAAGCTGGAATGAATTCCACGTATGGGACTAAAGCGGATAAAAAGGTCAGCAGTCTATATGTGGCTTGTTTATCTAACAGCACTTGCTCAGCTGCATCTGAAAATTCCACCAGCATTGCACATGACCAAATAGAGAGCCCCCGTTTGGGAACTGAGGTCACTCAAGCACCAGCCACCAACATTGTTTCCTCTGTAACAGATACTGGAAAATCTCTTCCTCCCCATCCTCCTGTCCCTCCCAGGCCATACTTTAATATTGTCCTCAGTAAAGACGCAGTTAGCTATGGTACAAGCCATTCCTCCAGGACTCAGTCTCCACCTCCTCAGGCTGTGAGGGACAAAGTGCTAGAGCCCCAGAGTACGGCTGGCAGTGGGGACAGGATGAGAAAGGAACCTTACCTTACTCAGCAGCAGCAGCAGCAGCAGCAGCATCCGTACAAGGTGAAGGGACGCAGCATGGTACATGTTTTCTTCATAACCTTGTTTTCTTTCAGCCGTGCAAACGGTTCTCTAATTCATACAGTGTCCCCTAATGCTGTATGCACCTCTTCCTAATTTCTGCACGCAGGTCGCTTTTGTGTAGCTTGATTCTTGTCATCTGCTATTCAATAACCTCTCACTTTCCTCTCCCAAAGACTGAAGAGTATGTTTGTGTGATGTGTGCCTGTTGTTTGCAGGCTAAAATCAGTTGGTGGGGGGGGTCAGCTATGGGAAATATTCCTGTTTAGGTAGGTGTAATCGTAGCAAGTGCTGCAATACAGATGAACTGCTTTGTGGTTCGATCGAAAATTAAAGGATGGGTGGAAAACTGGTATGCCTTATCCAGTGTGTTCATGGAGCCTTTGGCAGCTAAGCAGAACATCCCTAAGGGCATAGCTTGCTCTGAGAAAGGAACGTCCAATGGCTTGGATGCATGCCAGCCTGTCACTACCCAGGCAGTACTGGGATGTGCACCCATGAAGGATGGATTGCCCCTTTGCGTAACCCCACCTTATTTCCCACAGGATGCCATTTCTACCACCACAGCTCAGCCTGAGATTATAGTAGTCCCACTCCTCCAGGTTAACACAGACAGAGAGCAAGAAGGCAGCTCCAGCACTCCGCCACCGCCTTTGGTACCTTTGGGGCAAGGTGCCACGTTCCCTGAGACTGTTCCTACTGGCTCACCTCTGACTTTTCCGACACTAGACGATTTCATTCCCCCTCACCTCCAGAGGGGTCCCCACCATCACCATCTGCCCTCCTCACCTGGCATCTTGCCCCCAGTTTGCCCGAAACTGCCATCATTCTCACCGCCACCTCCACTGGTGCCTCCTGTCCCGGAGGCTTTGCACAGAGTCTTGGAGCCTGAAATCACTGGAGTCCTCTCACGTACAGTAAGCTTGTCGAGTACCCTCCTCACAGCTTTCCTGAATTTGTTTCCAGATTAAAATAACTTTCTCATTGACATACTAAGCTTTGAAAGACGAGCACTAACTAGTGTCTTGCCAGCAGCATGACCCCTGAAACCTTGTTTACGTCCTGTTACAGTGCATGTATGTCACCTACCTTATCTGGCTTGGGAACTGTGCAGTTGTTTGGTTTTTCCCCAATATTTTACAGTTTCTTTCCCCCACCTCTGTCCCTGCTGGATAATCTACACCTTTGGCTTTAACCATCTTAGGGGAACATACTATGTATGATACTTGCACTTCTCATCTGAAAGAATAACACCTGCTGCTTGGGCTTTGGCTAGCTGATAGTCTCTCGACGACACGTCCCAGACCATGTGTGAGTAACATCAGAAGCAGCAAAAGCAATGCAGTTGAAGGTTAAGGACAGCACACTCTGTCCTGCATGGAGATAAAGGGCCACATGTTCTATGTGTGTATTCCCACTGAAGGCAATGTGAGGTTCATGCCAAAACAGAATGACCCACAAGCTATAACTTCACTTGCTAATCTGAGACCCTTGCAAGCTTCTAAGCACTATGGGAGAGTGTGTCCCCTTGTTTGAAATATCCTTGCTCCTGCTGAGGTCTTCACGATTTTCAGAATTCTCACATTTTGACAGGACATCACCCTGTTTTTTCTATGTTGCTTTTCTTCCTTTTTAAACCCACTGCCTTTTTTACAAGGGGGCAAATGTAGCTACAAGACTAGCTGTAAAGGTTTGGATGCTCATCTCAACCTCTTTGTAATCGAAATTTTACCACCAGTAGCCCTATTACAGGATTTCCAGTAACTCCTGAGTGAAAAATCCAGCAAAAATAACTTCTTTCATGATAAAAACAACGAGGAGTAATTGTGGCACCTTAGAGACTAACAAATTTATTTGGGCATAAGCTTTCGTGGGCTAAGACCCACTTCATCAGATGCATGGAGTGGAAAATACAGTAGGAAGATATATATACATAGTACATGAAAAGATGGGAGTTGCCTTACCAATTCTGTCGAGACAATTCAATTCAAGTGGGCCATTACCAACAGGAGGAAAAATCACTTTTGTTGTGGTAATCAGGGTGGCCCATTTCAAACAGTTGACAAGAAGGTGCGAGTAACAGTAGGTGGGAAAATACTCACCAGCAACTACACACCACACAACAAAAACACTAACCCAGGAACCTATCCCTGCAACAAACCCCGTTGCTAACTCTGTCCACATATCTATTCAAGGGACACCATCATAGGACCTAACCACATCAGTCACACCATCAGGGGCTCGTTCACCTGCAAATCTACCAATGTGATATATGCCATCATGTGCCAGCAATGCCCCTCTGCCATGTACATTGGCCAAACCAGACAGTCTCTATGCAAAAGAATAAATGGACACAAATCAGACATCAAGAATTATAACATTCAAAAACCAGTCGGAGAACACTTTAACCTCTCTGGAAACTCAATAACAGACTTAAAACTGGCAATTCTTCAACAAAAAAACTTCAAAAACAGACTCCAATGAGAAACTGCAGAACTGGAATTAATTTGCAAACTGGACACCATCAGATTAGGCCTGAATAAAGACTGGGAGTGGATGGGTCACTACAAGAACTAAAAACTAATTTCCCCATCCTAATTTTCCCTCCTACTGTTACTCACACCTTCTTGTCAACTGTTTGAAATGGGCCACCCTGATTACCACTACAAAAGTGATTTTTCCTCCTGCTGATAATATCCCACTTTAATTGAATTGTCTTGTTAGAATTGGTAAGGCAACTCCCATCTTTTCATGTACTATGTATATATCTTCCTACTGCATTTTCCACTCCATGCATCTGCTGAATTGGGTCTTAGCCCATGAAAGCTTATGCCCAAATAAATTTGTTAGTCTCAAAGGTGCCACAAGTACTCCTTGATGTTTTTGCTGATACAGACTAACATGGCTACAACTCTGAAACTTCTCTCATGATGATTTGGCTGGGCCTGGAAGAAGTAGCAGAGAGGCATGTGGAAAGAAACAAGAGTGGCATTTGCAGAAGTGCTCCGCATTGGTCTAACTCTGCTCGTATGGTCAGTTGGATTTTTACCATTGGGGAGAACTTTCAAAAGCACCAGAGTGACTTAGGAACCTAATCCCATTTAAAGTCAATGGGATTTAGGCTTCCAAGTCACAAAGGTGCTTCTGAAACTGTGACCCTCTTTGACTCTAATGGGAGCAAAGTGATGCCAATCTTGTGTGATTTTGAGGACGCCACTCTCAGTTTTCCAAACATTTTTTTTTTAAATGACAAATTTAGGTTTGGTTTATATTTTTGGCTGTGGAGATGCTCCGCTGTGATTGAAGTAGCTCACTACACTGTGGTCCTCTGGCTCTGCCCACCAAGCCTTCCCTTCCCACACACCCCATCTGCCTTTTGTGCATTGCATCAAGGGGGCTCCCCAGCACACAGCAGATGCATGCTGTCTATATGGAGCATTCAGATCTGCATCCCCACTCCTATGCTCAGCAGGACTGCCTTGGTTCCTCCACTGAGGGTACGATGGGGGCTAGATCTGCCCCCTGGAGAGCTTTGGAAACTCCTGGTTTTGAGGCTGCTGAATAGTCACCTCTTCTTGTGTTGTCATAAAATAACTCAGGCCTAATTACAGGTTTCAGAGTAGCAACCG